GAATAACATATCTCTCCAATTTGACAGAGGTAATGCATACTGAAGTTTTTTGTCCTTTTTATATGAAATACTGAATTATATGACCAAAAGAAAAAATAACGGAAAAATATGACTTCTATTGCACAATAACCGTGACCTGGTGATGAGTTATTTTATTATGCATTGACGTGGTGATATATTTGCAGTGACCACAGCGACTATGCAATGATATTTTTGTAAACGAGTTTTATTTTAATCAAATAAAAAGAAACCCCCCTTTATTGATTACTCATTTTAGTGTTACCCTTCAAAGAATAACACAGTGCCATATATTGGAAATTATTAAACAAAAATATTAAAATACTAATTAGAAACATTTTGTGTTAAATGTGTAGATAAATCAAATCATGCTTTTGGTCCCACAAATATAGGCTCGTATTCTATTTTTTTCCCATCCCGCAAAGATACTCTAGTTTCTATGTTTGTTGTGCATTTAGTTGTTCATTTCCTTGTTTGGTTTTTGTTTAAAACAGTTCAAGATATACACAATTGACAATTCGTTATTTGAAAAATTAACTTCACAAATTGGTAAAAACTAAAAAGTGAGAATGGCACTTTTGTGGTCTACATGTGCACTTTTTGCATGTTTTGGTACACATTTGTTACTATATTTCATTAAAAGTTCTTCATAATTACCAAAATGCCACCGTGTTTCCAAATTAAATTTTACCTCTTCCATCCATATTTTCACATCGATTGCCAAGATTAGTTCTTATTTTTCATCTAGGAACCTCTTTGTATTTGAACCAAACACTATATATATAGAAGGGCAGTGTTGGTATATTTATGTAAGTTGTGATCATTTTAATAATTCTATATAACTTTCCTAAGTGGTTCAATTTAGATCTAGCGCAGATAGCGAGAACCAGGGTTTATCATTAGTGTTTTACAAAATCTATGTTGTTGCAGAGTGAAGTGGTTTCCAAAGTGAGGGAAGAGGTAGTATCATTGAGGCATGCAAACGAGGATCTTCAAAAACAAGTTGAAAGACTGCAGATGAACAGATTCAATGATGTTGAAGAATTAGTGTATCTTCGCTGGGTCAATGCATGCTTAAGATACGAACTCAGGAACTATCAAACGCCAACTGGAAAAGTATCGGCTCGTGACCTAAGCAGAAGTATGAGCCCGAGATCTCGGGACATAGCTAAGCAGCTGTTGTTGGAATATGAAACACACTTTTCTCACCCTTCTTCTCCTGAAAGTGAAGATTTTGATACTACCCCAACTACTAATACTACTACTACTACCTCTACTGATGAACCTCCTAGTAAAAAGTCTAGCTTGATTCAGAAATTGAAGAAGTTCGGAAGAAGCAAAGATAAAGCTCATAGAGTCCCTGAATTAGTTGAGTTGTACCCAACATTGATTAAGCGGGAGTCGAAAAATGATTCCTCACCACCCATGATTTCTTCCTCGTCAGACGCTAGCAGCAATATGATCGGAGAATTGGAACATGAATCGTCCTCTAATTTAACTGTATGTAGAAGTTTTTTTACTGTATGTAGAAGTTTGTATTTGATTCTTGACCTAATATGTGTGCTTTTTTTATAACCAACTCTTAGAAAGATAACGGTTGTATTGATCATGAGGTGAAGCGTGATGTGGAAACTCAAGGTGATTTCATTCAGTCACTTGCTGCTAAAGTTCGTGCGGCTTCCTTCTCCAGAATAGATGATCTGGTAGCATTTGTGAAGTGGCTAGACGAAGAGTTATCCTTCCTAGTATGTTTATAACTCTACATTTTTATTTGTAGGCTAATAAGTCATCCCACACAAACACCATCATATAAGATCTTTAACTTCTAATGCTAAGTGCGGAAATATATGATTTGTTCACATCGGCTAAATATTAAATAACAAATCTAATGTACATATTTGAGCTACTCTTCATATTGGGTTGGCATTTTATGATGGAACCATTGGTATTAATTTGGTAACAAAGTGCCCGCAATAGTCATGATGTGCATTTCCTATGAAAAAGGAAAGTGCACAGTCGAGACAAGGTGTCAGACCGCTAGGGTATGTCCCTTATGATTAATTTTTCATGGTAGATGATGCAGTTCTGAGCCGTTAGGGTTTGTGCTACTATGAGATGATTTTTTTTTAAAATTTGCATGATTCACATCATCTAAGTAAGCAATACCTAACTCACATGGAAGGATTTGGGCATAGCCTTTTAGAATATAACACAAACTCTTAATACTAAGGTTGATATTTTAGAAGAAGTTTTAATGACTAATTATAAACTACTTAGCAATTATTTAATATTTGTTTAGGTGGATGAACGAGCTGTTCTCAAGCATTTTGATTGGCCAGAAGGGAAATCAGCTGCATTGCGAGAGGCTTCGTTTGATTACCAAGACCTAACGAAACTCGAGAATCAAGTTTCGTCATTTGTCGATGATCCTAGCCTTTCTTGGGAAGCGGCTTTGAAAAAGATGTATGAACTACTTGAGAAGTAAGTGTTCATATTAGACATAGTGAGCTCTCTGTGTACAACATCAAAGGGAGCGTTCATTGATGCTAAATAATGGAAAATAACTTTAAATAATACCAACTCATTCATAAATCAATAATAATACATACTTTGGAAATGATTTCTAATAATACCAACTATTTGAAGATATAAAAAAAGTAATATGGAGCCACTTTTTGGCAAGAAATTCAGTCATTTAAGACATCAAAAGTTGATATCGAACCATAAAATAAATGATATTTGGAAATGGGGTCACTTATTTGATATTTTGATATTAGTTTTTGATGAGTGAAATGACTAAGGTTGCGTACATCCGACCTCCTTACCCCACCGTAGATGGGAGCCTTTGTGGCATTGGGGTAATGCTATTGTTGTTGTATGAGTGAGATTACTAAATTTTTATTGAAAAATTGCTCTACATCACTTTTGTTAAATATTCAAATAGTTGTTATTATTAAAAGTTATTTCCAAAGTACGTATTATCTTAGTTCAATGAAGATAATTTGTATTATTTAAACAACTACTCCCTCCGTCCCGCTAAGATTGTCCCATTTTACCTTTTCGGGAAGTTCTACTAAGATTGTCCCATACAAATTTGGTAAAATATGTGTGGCTCTAAACCATTCTTTATTTTTACTTTTTCAATTCAATATCAATCACATAAACTCATTTTTCTTAATAACCGTGCCACCTTCCGTCCCAATCTTAGTGGGACGGAGGTAGTAGTTAATTAGACTTGTCTTTAGTCAATGTAAGTAAATGGTTTCTGCTGTGGCACAAAATTTTCAGGGTAGAACAGTGTTTTTATGCACTATTGCGTACAAGAGACATGGCTATGTCGCGTTATAGGGAATTTGGCATTCCTACAGATTGGTTACTAGATTCTGGTGTGCTCGGTAAGGTATGTATTCAACCAATACATTTTTTTTCACTTTTGGTCCAATGACCATCAAATAATTCCATTATTGGTTCCCCTCACTTCCAAACTTCTGTACGTTTAATGCATGAAAATGATTTGTTTTTCATTTTTGTTTTTACCACTTATCCAGCTAATTTCCTCACTATTCCTAGTCGCTTTCCCATTTTAAGAAGAGCTAGTCAGATGTCTAGGCAAAAATTTCCATAATGTGATCTTACGATACTTTTTTTCAACTAGAAGTTAAAAAACAAACTAAAAAGATGATTAATGCGCATTTGGTCCTATGCAGATTAAGATCTTATTAGTTCAACTGGCTTGTACATACATGAAACGTGTTGCATTAGAGCTGGATGCATTGAGTGGGGGTGATAAGGAACCACCCAGAGAGTTTTTAATTCTACAAGGTGTTCGTTTTGCTTCCCGTGTTCATCAGGTAATTATTCTCGACTCACCATTTGACTCAAGGGCTCCTTTGGGGGGGGGGGGGGGTATTTCACTTATTTGCATAAAATGAACTGCATCTTCTGATTTTTGTGAAAGAAATGTGTTTGGTATTTGGTAATGATAGTTTTCATGCAAATAATTAAGCAGAATAAAACCCAGACAAGGTTGACCAAATAGATGAAATTTTGTTAATAATAATAATAAAGTTGTGAGGATTTCTTTGTAGTTATCTGGAGGGTTTGATGGTGAGAGCATGAAGGCCTTTGAAGAACTTAGAAGGCGCGTGCACACACAAACTGGGGAAGAAAAGCAAGAATGAACTTTCCTCTTTTCCACCCCAAATTGTATATTTCATCATTTTGATAGCTTGGTTATAGAAAACACCATGCTGTACTTTCAGATTTATATGTATACACAAAAATGCATTAGATTATGTATAGAAAGAAGTTTTTCATACAACCCCACAAATCACTTGTCCGTAAGGCTTTTCTCTTTTCTTGATGGTGAAGTATGGCAATGCGCACTGTCTTTTACGGAGTAGTATCTTGGGGTAAAAGTCAGCTAAGCTAGGCATGAATAAACCAAGCTAAGAACTGGTCAATTGGTTGGATATGTTTATTGGATGTGTGTTTATGAAAATGGATGTGTATTTATGAAAGGATGATTTTTCAGACCAACATAGTACTCCATATAATACAAATCAACTAGAAAACTACAAAGTAGCTATTTAATGTTGCGAGAAAGTTTTTGTCTGGTCAACTATAACTTTTGTTTGACAAACTTTACAAATATGGTGTCAATTCCGCCTCTGATCCATGTTTTTATTTTATCCACTTCTGTCAGTTCTGATGGCTAGGTATTCATTGGTCCTTCCGACCAAATTTATGCCACCTCTTTAGTGATTTTATACACATAGTTATAGCTAAAAGGATCACAAGTGGGTTACAAAAGATGAATGGATAAAGACGGATCGAATATCAGTTTGGTAATCATTTAGCATGATCAAAAGTGAAAATATTAAAAATGAGCTCCAGCCCATTACATACGTGTGTGTAATGAACTAATGATTTGTTTTACATATTTTGAGGCTGACCATCCAAATTTGATCTACCAAACGGCTCTAAAATTGTGTGGAACTTTATTTTAAACATCCCGGTGTATTTTAAAAATTACTGCAAAAAATCGAACTTTTGAAATATGCAGGTTAATACAACAAACATGACTTTAAACAAAGACCCACAAATACGCTCATGAGTCATGAGTTTCTAAACAGAAAACACATTATCAATTGATGGATTTGTGGAAATACATCTCATCATCATGTGCTGTGGTACCTGAAATGTGTGTACAAGGGCACTTGAGCCCCAAAGCAACAAAAGAAAAAGAAAGCTGTTTTTTCCCCTATCTAATGGTTATAACAAGACTTCTATCAGTAAACTTGGCAGCTCCAACTTTCCCTTGAAGCTTAGAAGGCAAGGAAATGGAACGTCTTTGATCACCTGCTTCTACCAACAACTCAGATCCCCCTCTAAACTGCATTAATGAGAAATGACAGAATTAATATCATCATATAAGCTAAGTTTGGTAGACAATTTTGACTTCTGCTGAATAAGAGCCCGTTGGGTCAGGACTCAGGAACGTTTGAAGTTGTGGCTAAAATGACTAAAGTTACTAAAATCAACCAAACAATTTAGTTAATATACATTTTGATAAATAAATACTAAAAGGGCATAAAGTATCAAATTTAGCTCTTCATTTATAAACACTACTGAAAGAAACTAAGCCGTCTAAGCGTACTCAGCCAAGACATGGAAAGCAGTAAGGATTTAGTTAAAATACTTGCTGATAAGCCAAAAAGAAAGAAAACTAGACGGGCCCATAAGTGGTGCTTGACTCACTTATTCGGCTGGAATGGATGTACTAAATACTTTTCCTTACCAAATGCTGAAGAAAAATCAGCATTTGAGCCATTTTCAGCCAAATCACCCTTACCAAATAAGCCCATAATATCAGTTTTGGTGTTCTTCAAACTTGAACATATCAATATCTAATCTTTGTGCCATACCTGGTATAGTTTGATTTCTGATTTGTCAAACCCGGGCATGAGAAGCGTGATAGTTTTATTGGCAGAATCAAACATAACGGGTTGAATCTTCGACCCGTTACTTGTTTTAGTCAGGAATTCCCGTGCGTCCAGACTCGAAGCATCCTGCACTATATGACCCCATTCTACGCAAGACCCTACAGGGAGATGTGGAACGAAAGTGTAAGGCAGAGGTGAGAAGCTCTTATCAACTCTCTCCCTTGATTCATTTGATGGTCCAAATGCTAGTGCACCAGAGACCTGCCCCCCTGCTTGAATAACGCAACCCCAGTAGCGTAATCCGGTAGCCAATGATGTGGGACTTTTGGGGTTGACCACAACATAGCAGCTAAATTTATCGGGTTGTGAAACCATAGAAGATCCCCTCTGCATCATACAACAACCAGTTAAGTGTTGACACCTTAAGGGTCCGTGGGGATCCGGAAAACAGCAGGGATATAATATAGGGAGGAAAAGGAGAGCAAAACTGGAAGGAAATAGAATTTAATTTGGATTTTTGCTCAAACTATTTTTATCAATTATTTTCTACTCTATGAAGAAGAAATCTAAATATTTAATGACAGAGAAATTTTACAAAATATTAATCATAAGAAAATAACTTTCTTTAGTGTTTTTTCCTCCGGTTGGCATTTTATGCAATCCAAAATGCCCCATAATAAAATTGGATTATTGCTTCCAAAGAACAATCTAGGTAATATGAAACAAAAAACCTACCTCCAATGCTTGATCTAGAATATTCCATATCTCTGAACTCGTTTTCCCATTCAGATTGGAACTCCTGCTACTTAAATTCATAGCTTCATCCACGAGTCTCAAGATTGACGGCCCCACCAATCTTCCAATATCAGTCTTTTCTGCTAGCTTGCGCAGATACTTCAAGTATAATCTGCACATAGAGAATTTGAAATGGACCGTTATTAAACTTAGTGCCCATTGGGTTGAATGCTTTTCCAGATTATCAGCCTTATAAGCTGTGTTTTCAATCAAACACTAACTTATTTCATTACCCTTACTCCACCACTTGATAATGAAAAAAAGTACAGAGTACTACATAAGTTACATGCTTTTGCTAAAATGTATGAAGTGAAGGCAAAGAGTCAAACGACACTTCTAATGTCATTTCAGATCATATTTTCTGTAGTTTATTAAAGGGGAAAATAATTTAAATACCCCAAACTTTAATGGGGTGTGAGGTAAGCACCCCGGCCCAAACTTGCATATGCAATATATGTATCCCGAACTTTATACAAAAGGTTATTTTCACGCCATGATTATATGTTTTTTTACAAATACAAATTTGTTGGATAATTACATAATTTAAAATACTCTAAGCTTTGTTAGAATCGAATTAACATTCTAAAATTTCATTTGTGAAATAAATAATATTACATCAAGTAAGATTTAATTTTAATTGCATCCTCATAAATGTTTTGTGTATTTTAAATTGTGTACTTGACACCATAAAATTACATTTGAGGAAAAATATATACTCATGTTGTTAAAAAAACCTTTTATATAAAGTTTGGGGTATGTTTATGACGTGCAAGTTTGGGGTACTCGTCTCACACTCCTTGAAAGTTTGGGATATTTAAATTATTTTCCCCTTTATTAAAAGATCACAATTATTTCAGGCAACTCAATCATATCAGCCAAATATACCTTTACCAAATAGGATGTTAGGGCTTGTTTGGTGGGGGCAACTTTGGAGGAAGAGTAAGGATCCATTTTTGTTTTACTTATTTATCTTCATTTCTTAGTCTTGGACTAGAAAACACTACGTAACTACTCATTATATGATTAGATCAATTTATTCCTTTACAATTTTTATCTCCCTTAGTTTCTTCTCAGCCATATCAACGTACGATTAAATTTTAAAATATATCACACATCGCCTTCCCTCCCTACCGTAATCCCCCAACCTGTTGGCCCCTAAACTCATTTTCACTTTCACATGAGGTGGTGGTTACAACGAATAAGAGTGCTGACCTTGCCTTGCTGGTTGCGCCTATCATTCGAATGGTTTCTTCAGTGCTTATGCCATCATAAATTATAACATCAAATTTGTCCTTTTGACTGACATTTCTAAAGAATCCTATTAGCTTCTCAAGTTCCAAAATTGAGAATATGGAATCCATCCCAGGTAGCACACCAAGCTCCTGGCCCACCACCTATACTACATTACAACGGAAAAAGATCAAAAGACAAGGATGGATAACTCTCTAAAATGATAGGTGATAAAATTCACAATCGGATGATAGGGACACATCTAACCCAAACAAAGAAGATAATTACTTTTTCCAAAGTTTATTCTAGTAGAAGTAGTTAGACTAGTAGTTATTAGTTGAAATTCTGTTAGGAGCTAATAACTAAAGTCGGGTGAGCTGGATTACTATAAATAGAATAAGCTGGGAAGATCTGAGAAGTTGTTTCTCTTATCTTTGGGACTCAGATGAACTGTAATACTCCATTAATGAAGTCTGATTGTTTCTTGAGTTGAATTCTTACTTTTTTCAGCTTATTTCATTCTGAATTGTTGTTAAAGAGCTGTGCTAGCGCTATCATACTGTATTCCTCGATTAACGAATTCTGATTGTTTCCTGAGCTAGATTTCTACTGTTTAGCTAGAATTACTTTTGAATTACAGTTCTATACCTGCAAAAGTTCTATCATCGGATCAGAGATATGTGGGCTGCTTTAAAAGATTGTACTGATTAGGTACTCTAACTCAGGGTCATAGATTTGGGACCAATGTGGGCCCGGGCCCACCCCAAGTTTGGTACGAACCTTTTTTTGAATGGATGGTACTTTTTATGTAAAAACGTATATGGAGTATGAATGAATTATTTCTTCATCCCACCCCCGGTTTAAAACTTTTGGGGGTTAGTTAGTCCACTGGTCTAACTCAATGACTTATGAACACATATGTATTTTGAATATATCCATGTGTGATTCATAACAACAACAAAAAATGAAGAAATGTTATAATACATACCAACCTCTTCAAGAACTCCTTGCGTCAAGTTAAGACGAGCGTCTGCTTCCTTTATTTTATTGAGAGGTTTAAGAAGCATCTGCAATTATTGGTGATTATATTATCTTATTAGTAAAAAGCAGACTATACTATAAAAGGCAAAGGGGAGTATTGTGCAAAGAAACACACTTTTGTAGTTTCCAATCTCACAACTGAAAGATTGTGGCTGCATTGAAGAGGAGATGTGCCAATCTTACAGTTTAGAAGATCTTCTGCTGTAGGATCTTGAGAATGTATAACCAAGAAGGTCTTCAGTCCTGCCATAGCATAATGCTGATATACCAGCTAACTGTAGTAAGATTCTATGATGTACTTGTATAACATTCAAAGGAAATCATGAACGCCGGGAGTGCCGTTTGGTAAAGGTTTTGTTTTCAGTTTTCGCATTCACCTTTTTTGTTTTCCGTTTTTTAAAGTAAAAACATAACTCAGGAAGTTATTGGCAACATAAGTTTGTCTTTTTCATTTTTTATGGAAACAAGTTTTTGGTTTTGACACTCTTCATAAGTTTCATATACGGGGTAACATATACAGAGTAACTCTTCTTTTCTCGTGTAAAGGTTCCTATTTCAGTTAATAATGTTTGACTGATGGTAAGGTTTACTCTCCCTTATAATACTTAGATTTAGTACGTAGTATTAATAATTAGCATTTAGAAGTTCTAATAAACTGAAAAAAGCAAATTAATACCATAAAAATTTGATACATAAAATCGCAGATTAAAATAGATTTAAGTTGACCACAGGAATAATGAAGTAGACATGTATTCTGGGACAGAGAGTATAATAGATCCTACCTACAAGAAAAATCTACCAAACTCATGAATTTGAGATTTTGAGAAGTTTGAATACAAGCATACAACACAAAGTAAAACCAAAACCATCTTATTCAAGAACAAGATAGGTAAAACATAAAACAGGAATCGCTACCAAATCATCAAAATAAAATAGAACTTCATTAAATAAGACTTTGTTTACTTCAAGCATAGGATCAATAGAAAAGGGTCACACTTTTGACCTTAAAATTCAGAATAGAGGATAAGGATAACTTAATATATCCTTCAATTACCAATGGTTATTGGTTAGATAAAAATATTCTACCACTAGTTTAAGGATTTTTTGAGTGCTACTCCTAAAATATGATCCTTACTATATACTGAAGTTACTATTCTAAGGATTAAGCAATCACACATTGATCCTAAGTTGCAAATCAACTTGAAATATCAAATAATTGATTTTATCATACAATTGACATAAAAAGACAAACTTTCTCATATATTCATCTTTGTGAAGAAAATTGAGAGGAATTTTTAGGAGAGAAGATAAGATTGGAGTGCACACATACCTGAGCAGCGAAAACAGCGGAAGTGGTTTTACCAGAACCTCCTTTTCCCAAGAAAGTGACCAATCTCGCGGGCTTATCAGTTGCAATGTTATTGTTGGCTGAATCAGTGGGAGCAGCCATGGCCAAATCCCCTTTCCTCCTCAACGAATTCTGTAGCGGAGAGACGACACAGAATTTTGGGATCGAGAAAGAAGAGGGTAAAAATGGTATTAGGAGAAGTTGCGGGTTTGAAGAAGGAGAAGCCATTGACTTCCAGTGTAGAAATAGAAACTGTGGCTTGGACGCTTGGTTCTACTTATGCGGAAATGAAAAAGGGCAATTATCACCTACCTCCCCTGAGGTTTAACGTTTTATCACTTACACCCCTATAGTTTTAAAAATATGCACAAGCCTCCCTCTTATCATTGAGAGTGTCAACTTTAACGGTAAGGGTTAAATAACTTAACCTGCAAACATAATCGCATATCCCAATTTTCTTAAACCCCTTTTCTGTAAAAAAAAATCCTCAAGTCCTAGCTCAGTGATGCTCTCCATGGGAGTGCTTGTTGATTTTACGCATACAGGTAGATTTAGCAAATAGAAGTTCTACAAATCTCTTTCAGGGTAAAAAAAGAGAAGACCATCTTCAGTTTCAAAACCTGAAGCAAGTAAACAATCACAAATGAGTGTGTCATCAAGTGGTGTTACCAGAGGAAAAAGAGTTAAAAAGTAGATGGGTATATGATCAAGCTTGTGTACCTACGTACTGCATATTAGCTTTATCAGGATAATCTGTCTATTTTGTTTTTGGATATCATTTAGAGTGATACTCTAATTAACTTTTGCATATTCTGCCTAGGGTTCTAGTATATGCAGTAACGTATAACATGTGATATTCAAAACCTGTGTGCTGAATGGTTTCTAATTTTTCATGCTAACTCTGGGATGGTTTTTAATTTAGTGTTATTATATTATTATTATTATTATTATTATTATTATTTGTTAATACGTTATGGAGTAGTAGTACATATTATTACGATGTACGCTTGCGCTTCAAAAAGTCTATAAGGATTTGGCCGTTTGTGGTCTTGTTCAATTAGGAATGAACCTCATGTCCGTTCTTATTAATACCCAGCCATAGTGCTGAAGAGCAATAAGACCTTTTTTATATTCGATCAATCTGTTCTGTGCTTTTATTTAGCTTGCTAGCTTTGGTGTTTGAGTTTAACAGTCTTCCGTTAAAGTTAACACTCTCAAACAATATAGGGAGGTTGTTGCATATTTTTAAAACTATAGGGGTGTAAGTGATAAAACATTAAACCTCAAGGGGGTGTATGATAATTTCCCAATGAAAAACAATGTTTGATGGACGGACTTTTATACCCACCTTATACCCACCATGTTTGTGGAGGTTTTTTTTGTCTGTGAACCCGGGTTCACAAACAATATTTTGTCTGTGCAAAATATTGTCTGTGAGCCGGGGTTCACAGACATAAAAAACACTTCACAAACATAGGTGTGTACAAAAGTGGGTATAAGAGTAGGTACAAAGATCATTTTTGAATGAAAAATAGGAGTGGAGCTTGGAAGTGGGAATTGTAAGCTAACACCATCCCATCCTTCAATAAATTTAATTCTCAATCAATTTTAATATTCATTCAATTAATTCAACTTTTTCGTCATCAATATATCCACTCATCAAAATTCTTAGAGGTTATTCCCTAAATAGGACCAAATACATCTTTAATTGCTAAAATAGGAGTAAAATTTAAAATTTTCCCAAATAGGAGCTATTTTTTTTGCAGTTGGACAATAATACCCTGAAGCTTGTTAAAACAGTACACCGGACCTCCGCCGGCCGCCGGACGCCGGAGCCACCGCAGAACTCGCCGCCACGGGACATTTGACTGCCAACAGTTCAGATCTGCCCATTGCCGCCATAGATCTGTCCACCAATGTCATAGATCTGTCCACCACCGCCACAGATCTAGCCGCCGCCACCTTGAATCTGATCGTTGCCCTCGATCCGGCCCTAGTTAGTTAAATACGGTGCGGGAATTAAACGAGGTTTAATACGTACGCGTTTTATTCGGTAACATGAATGAAAAAAACGGTCAAAAATTCGTTGAAAAAAACGTTGACTTTTAAAAAACGTGTAAATACGTATACATGTATAATACGTTGTCTATTACAAAAATTCGGACGAAAAATACGGGAATTATTTTGAACATTTAAATGATATATTTCATAAAATAACATATAAAGTAAAAAAGAAATAAAAGTATACACATATTCAAGTAGTAAATCTCATTACTACGTACAAGAATAGTTCGTAATTGCATAAGTCGAAGACAAAAATAAAAACAGTAATTAAGTCCAAGACATAATTTTGAAAAATAATGTCAAAAAATCATTATCTTTATATGATTATCAAATAACACTCAAGTTAAACTCATCATTTTCATTAAGATGACAGATGACATATGACAAAAGTTGTGTGATTGCTACACTTATTATTGTTTGTGTAAAAGTTTATGCTAAAAAAACGGCAGGTTTAGAAAAATCTTAATTTTGATATGCTAGCTTGAAAAAACATCAGAAATCTTGTAGTATATTACTACGTAAGTTTTAGTATTTCAGGATGCTAGCTTTAGCCATCATGCAATTAATTTTAGTATTTAATAATTGCCCTGTAACAATACAAAAACACGAGATCATGGGGAGGACGTTTTCATTTTTACTTTTACACTATTGTTGATCTTCTATGCATTTAGTGTGTTCATTCAATTGGTCAATTCATGTTTATGTTTTTTGTAAAATACGGGAAAAATACGTTTTATACGGGAAGTAGGAGTTTTTTTTCCTTTTTTTCCCTTTTTAAACGGACCGACATTTCCCCCCTTTTTAAACGTGTTTTTTTGGTCAAAAAAACGGTACGTGTTTAAAACGCGTTTAAAACGGAAAAAAGCTAACTAGGGATCCGGCCGCCTCCTCTGTGGATCTGGCCTCCGTGAGTGCAAATCTGGCAATAACCGTCACTGAAGCCAACAATATAATCTGAATGCCAATATGAATCGAAAATGCCATGCTAATGACATTTTCAAAAGAAAAAATGGCATTTTGAAGAGTAAAATGCCAATGGCATTTTTAAAATAAAATTTGGCATTTCTTTTAAAAACCAAAACAAATGAAGAAGATGAACATTATTTGCCATCATCGAGGAAGAAAGAGAGAAGAAATAGAGAGGTGGATTGAGGAAGACCAAGAGGAAGCAAGACAGTGAGAACAGATATGAACTTACTCGCCACTCTCTGCCGCTCGTCGCTTCTTGCCGCTCGTCGCCGCTCGTCGCTTCTTGCCGCTCGTCGCCGCTCGTCGCCGCCCTTTGTAGTAGCTCACTGCCATTGAAGTAGGTGGTCTCTGTTCTTGCGCTCACAGTTGCACAAGAGAAAAGAGATGCGCAGGTACGATCGATTAGAAAAGGGGAAAGATGCTGCACGATGGAATTAAATGAAGTGGGGGTAAATTCGTATTCAATAGTCCTATTTAGGGAATAAAAATATACTTACTCTCATTTGGGAATTTAAACAACATTTTAGTCCTACTTAGAGCAAAAAACTCAAATTCATATTGTTACTTTCTTGTCAATTCTTTTTGTGAATAATTTTGATTTTAAAAAGTCAAAATTGCGGTGTAAAAATAAATTCCACTTTTTATTGTTATTTAGATATGTTTTTGAAAAATAAATAATAAAAAAACCACGTAAAATTAATTTAAGCGTTTGAATCTACTTAAAAAATTAGTCCTAAACGCTTCCGCCAGTTGAAACTTCATACTATGTATTTTTTAAATTTTTATATACAATATTTTTTTCATACGAAAGATCATAAAAGGTTATGTTTTTTTTATATATTTTTTGTAAAAATTGGAGTATAAATAAAAAAGTCATAACACTTGTAAAAACAAGAGTCTTTTTACCCAAGTCCAACGTCCTTTTCCATGTGTGCGTCATGCTTCTCCTTTCACCCTATGTTTCATGGAGGTGAACGAGGATGGCAAATATCACACACTCATGATTAGTGCTGGACTCGGGCCGGGCGGCCCGGCCCGGAACCGGCCCGGTCACTGTTTGAACCGGACCGAACTGGCGGCCCGGCCCAGGGGCGGTTCGGGTCGACCCGGACCGGTGGGGTTCGGTTCCGGGCTCGGGCCCTCCATTTGGTGAACCGGCCCGGCCGGTTCGGGCCCGGTCCGGGCCGATTTTTTTTTTTTGATTTTTTTTTAAGTTTTTGGGTTGGGCTGAGTATTTTGGGCCATTTGAGGTGATTTGGGGTGGTTTGGGGGGTGAGGGGGGTGGGTTGGGGGTTAAATAGGAGAAGCCAAAAAAAATTACAAACCGGGTGGCCCGGCCCCGAACCGGACCTGGAACCGGTGGCTACCGGTTCGGGCTCGGACCCAACAAAACAGAACCGCGAACCGGCCGGGCCCAGGCCCGAACCATGCCCGAACCGGCCCGAGGCCACCTCTACTCATGATTGTCACCTTTCCATTTTGACACCTCTCCGGACTATTTTTTTGGCTTGCATTATTGGGATGAAAAGTTAACAATTCTTTTAGCACGTGAATTGCATCCAGTCTTTTTGTGGCTTGCAATACTATTGCGGTGAAAAGTTTAAAATGACTTTTCACTACATGAATTGCATCCAGCCTTAGGGACCAATTGGTGCCATTGAAATTGAAAAATGGATTAGTTTGTGTTTGAATAAGGCAAATTCTGTAGTATATTGGTCGGTACTTGTGATTAACAGATCAACTAACGTAAAATACTTTTACTTATTAATGGGTAACATATTACTATCTTCATCCTACTAATATTGAGACTTGAGGAGGTGGTGTAGTTATTAAGAAAATTGAGTTTATGTAGTTGATGTTGAATTGATAAAGTAAGAATGATTTAGAATTACATAAATGCTAGCAATTTAATAAAGATAATCTTAGTGGAACAGATAAAAAAGGAAAGATGAGACAACCTTACAAGACATGCTACTTTAGTCTCTCGATAGTTTTATGAATCCAAAATTGTGGCAGGTTTGATTTTCTTCCAATTTCCACGCGAACTCTATGAATCTCGACCCACAAAAGGGATACCATAACGGATTAAGTGTGTTCCAAATTCATATCACACGTGACAAAACAACGCAGTCTATGTACCTCCGCGTACTAGAAGGCGCTCCCTAATTGATTATTACGCTTGTTCTAAATTCCTTTAGGCCATGTTTGGTATGATGCAATGCAATGAAATAGAATGAAATGCATAATGCAA